TTATTGATCCCTGACTTACAACTTTAATGAATTTAGACTTAACCTGTTGCGCTCCCCTGGCAATCTTTGCACACCTGCTCTATTTAATTTTTATTTTTACTTAATTGTTGTGTGTATTTCTGTTGTGTTTATGTATTTAGCTACTCTACTGTACAACTTGCTACTTTCCTGTAATTGGCTGCGAACCTGAAGCTGAATTTATAGGTTTGAATTTCTACTACAAACCAATAAACATGTTGGGGTCAAACACATGAAAAACGGCTCACACAGTCTCATGAAAAATCATAGATTATAGCCCGCTCCCAAGACATTTTTATGAGTTGATGAGTTAGGGGTGATTTTATAAACTTTGTGAAATGCTTTCTACGGCAAATTCTTAATTATGTGTGCCTTGTTGTAAATTCGGCAAATGTTATACATTAAGTTATTCTCTCATGACAGCCAAGGACCCAGCAGGGACCCAGCGGGAATCTGCTACAGATGTGCATGGGACCCTTGTAGATGGCTTGGTATTTCACTTGAGATGGTTATTGCCTGTATCATTGTGATGACAATTAAAATCATGCTGATTACTCATGGAACACATGGCAAACGTCTTTCACATGTATTCACCTTAAAAAGAGTTATCATCAACAGAATTTTTCAGCTGATGTATTTGTTTTTTAGAAATTTGCTCATCCCAGACATAAGTATCCTATGAGGAAAATTGGTGTACCACAGGTGCACCTGGAGAGCCTGGCTACCAAGTAACTAATCCGTGCTGTGCTGGTCATGACAATAGAACTTGTTGCTTTTTTGGACAGAAGCAGGCCTGAAAAGATTAACTCAAAAGCAATCATAGGTAAAGGTACCAGGGGATAGACAGGAGAGTCTGTGTATATTTTGTATGTATATTTTAATATATTATTACTTTCTTATTTTCATTATCCCTAGTATTATTGTGACCACCATTGTTTTCAATTGTTTTCCCAGTCCAAAGGGAGTTACTGCATTGGAGGGAGCTGGTCAACTGCACAACTAGTGATTTGTTTAAGGCAAATTACACAGACATGATCAGAATGCTTAAAGAGGACATATGTATATATATATTTTTATATTATTATTATTTTTTTACTTCTCATGTATTTCAACAGTCTGTGTGTCAATTCTAGAGATGTCATTTTTGCATTTTGACAGCCTAGAATGTAAATGTACTTTTAGACTTCAAAGCTGTTACAGCTGTTTCCTTTTGTTATGTATATGCAAAATTGTTTTGTATGACCAGGACCCCACTATTCATTAATCTAACATGAATATGTGATGAGGGCTTTTGGGGGTTCTGGATGTGGATAAATATTATGGGTACATAATACAATACAATAAGGGTTGTTGGCTGGTTAGGACTCCCAACTACAGTAACTGTTTTCCCATATAGCTGGTGTGCCACGGTTGGATGGCTGCCAAGACTTTGGCCTTGGTAATAGTGAACAATTTTGATCTTGAAGCCGCTGGCGTTGCAGTAAATGTACTGGTAGTTGTTATTATGTCTGAAGTCACTGGTGGCTGCAGTCTGATGGAGAACTGGCTGGTGTAATGTAGCTGGCTAGCTGTTGACCTGTTGGCAGCAAAATACAGCAGCTGTCACATATTGACATTGCACTGATTTTGATAATACATACAAATACAAAGCAGAGATCAGTTAATGTTAAAGGCTCCTACAGATACTAACTCTTTGGGACTGAAGTGTTCATAAATTGCCGATTAGTACTCCATTATTTTGCATATAATTAACTGCATTTTATTTTGAGGACTTGTGCTGAACCAGGTGGAGCACCATGGGAATCTTTTACACCCCATTTACACCTGGTATTGAAATGCTATCTGGATCTGGATAAGTTGTCCAGATAATAAGAAGGTACAAACATTGAGCAGACTGGGCAGCCGTCTGCCTTGACCGGTTGGGTGGAGCAAGAGGGGGAAGAGAGAGAGAGAGAGAGAGTGCAGAAGGAAAGATAACACAGTAGCCTAACACAGAGATGAAAAATAATAGAAGGGTGTGGCGAGATCTTGTGCCATGAGATCTTGCAAGATTAAAATATAACAAGATTTCTTGTCAGGTTAAAAGCTGTCTTGCGAGACTCACCCAATTGACATTTTCACACACTCTCCCACCAAGCATCAATTTTCCCAGGCAGTGAAAAACAAATGTTTAACTGATAAAGTGACTTGTGGAGTGAATCAACTCCGCCCGGCTGATGCGACACTGGCGTACGCCATGATAGTAATGAAGTGAATCCACTGTCACGCTCTGAGTTGCAGCCAGCTTGTGACAGAGTGGTAACATATCTGGTAGAGTTTTGCAATAAAACATCAAATAATTGATTCGCTAGGGACTGAGTTGCACTGAAATTAACATGTATGGATTTGTGAGATTTCTGTGTTTTCAGTTTGTGTCTGAAAGAGATATTACCAATAGCAGTAGCCGAATGCACACCAGAGTATAGGGCAGGTAGACATAATAATGATTATGAATTCTTATTAAATGATGATATAATTCTCATAATATTACGATTTTTTTCTGGACATGTCAGAGAACACAGATTTGTGGGAGAGATTCTGAATGGGCAGAACATTTTGAACATAAACATATAATTTGCTGAAACACAGGAGCTATTAAAGTCCAGGAGTTTAAAGCTGACTTAAAATTAAATAATTTATAATCAGGGTTGGGGAGTAACGGATTACATTTAACGGCGTTACGTAATCAGGATACAAAAATTAACTGTATTCCGTTACCGTACAGAAAATAAAGACTTAATCAGATTACAGGTACATTTTGTAAAAATGGGGTTTACACATAGGGATTACTTTGAGCACAAAGTTTCCATTAAACGCAAAGTGGATTGTTATTTGCTATTTACGTGTTTCCTGTAAAAACACACAGCTAGTGAGGGATTTGTCGCAGATATTTATTGCCAGTATAGCCAGTAGTTGAATGTGGTTATGCCCCCTCCCATTCATGCAGACTCTGTGCGGACTGATTCCAGCTCCCAGTGAATGAACACGGCAGCCGGACCGTGAGACTCTGAGACTGACGGAGAAAAGACTCTGAGACTGACGGAGAAAAGACTCTGAGACTGACGGAGGCCAGTTTGACCACTGGGAATACAGTACGAAGGTGTTTTTTTGCCGGTTTAGCTTTGTCACCCCGGGGCTGAGTCAACGAATGAGGCTGTGTTCGGACCTGTTCATGTCATGTTCACTTGGAGGCAGCTGAGCACAGTTTCGTTGCCCGCTGGCCCAGCGCAGCTCCCCGCAATCATTCCCCGCTGGGCCCCCCCGCCGCTGGCCTGAAAACCTCCAGTGCTTGAGTGAAGGTGTAAACTTGAACAAGAAAAGCTTTTCATTGGACACTAAATGAAAGCAGGCCCCCCAGTGCAGGATGATTCATCAACGTTTTAATATCGTTTTCCAGGAAATGACAAACTCTAAAATGCCTTCAATACGACATACAAAACAACATTCTTTGTCACTGATGGGCCAGAACCTGCCATATGACTTACAGGCCTAGTGCAAGGCATCATATAAAAACATTTAGGCATAAACATCGATTTTGATTTCATGGGAATGGGATATAGTTGTATGTTTCTCTACATCTTGTCTTTATTTGCGTATTTGGTATTGAAGTAATCCAAAAGTAATCAGGTTACATTACTTTTATTTTCTGGCACTTGGATTACATTACTGATTACATTTTTGAACAATTAATAATTGTACCGGATTATATTTTTGAAGTAACCCTCCCAACCCTGTTTATAATTGAGATAAACAGGTGCCAAACGCACATTTAGAGATGTTACTTCCTCAAACAAAAGACTCAAAAGAGGAGGGCAGACTGAATCATGCGTATGTCAACATATCTGAAAGCAATACAGAATGCCTGAGAGGCGAGCCTTACTGCAATATATTCTGTTAGAGTTTTAGATTTTAAATTGTAACCTGCCACTTGAAGTGTGTTTCACTTTACATAAATAAACATTTCGACCATAAAGTGGTGCAGAGAAATTATCCAGAATGCAGGAAATTAAGTGTTCAATGCACAAAATTTTTATGTAATCTCATTTTTATCTCATGAAGCAAATATTGCGTCCTTTCTCATCTTGTGAGCTAGGTGTCTCGTCACACCCATAGTAATAATACAAATGTCAATGACTAATAATAATCTTAATAGTAATAATAATTGCGGCAGTGGGTGTTGAGCAGGAACATGGGGGCAGTAGGTGGCTTGCAACCACAGATCCAGACTCTCCAGCCCAGGAGCCAGAAACACCTACAGAAAGCACAAAACTTCAAATAGGGAAGAAGTCGAGTTAGTAACATGCATTAATGGGATAACAATAAGTTCCGTGCATCATGGGAAGTCTCGTGGCAGTTTAGGCGTATAGCTGCATAACTAAGGGATGGTTCAGGACTCACCTGAGCCAGCCCTAACTATAAGCTTTATCGAAAAGAAAAGTCTTAAGCCTACTCTTAAATGTGGAGATGGTGTCTGCCTCCTGAACCCAAACTGGAACCTGATTCCACAGGAGAGGAGCTTGATAGCTGAACGCTCTGGCTCCCATTCTACTTTTGAAGATTCTAGGAACCATTGGCAGCAAATGTGGCGTTAATCTACTCTTCATGATTCTACATCAATAAATCAGGGATAGATGGAACCATGGACCAGATCGCATTTTTCATTAAATTATGTCAGCCTACATACACCTCTGTTCCTTCTCTCACCGTACCGTGAGATGACTTCCTCTTTCCCATATGTTCCTGTGTATTCCACAGCTGTTTCTGTACAGATGGAGCCCACTTAGAAAACAGTCACACAAGCTCTGGACTGTGTGACAGTGTGTGAAAAAAAAAATGTTGCTGCCAACGATGGCAACTTCAACTCACAAATAAACTGTTACTAAGCTCATCTGAATTCAATTTCCTCTCTCTTTCTCTTTGTCTCTGGCCTTTGTTTCTTTCAGATCACAGTAACAGAGACTGTGCTGTTCCTGGTCCAGTACACATCCAAAGAGTTTGACCGGTCAGAGAAGACAGTAGCCACCGGGGACTGCTGTTACCTGAATCCACTGGTGCGCAGGACATTCCGCTTCCTCGGTAAGTTTGAGACTTGTGTCTAGTTTTTAATTACTGCAAACCCATACAGCAGTTTTACAACTGTGTTGTGTCACAGACATAACCACCCATCCATCTCTCAAAAACCAAATGGGATGTAGAGCATGTTTTTCAGACAGGAAAATTGAATGCAGGTGTGAAAGTTTGTCTATCCTGTAATAGATATTTATGGTTGATTTTAGATATTTATTGACCTTATGCGCTTCAGCGACAAAGAATTGCTTCCAATCTGTTTTGTTTTAAAGTGGTCATTTGCTCATTTTCAGGTTCATAATTTTATTGCAACTCTTTTCACCCTGTGTGTTGAATGCTCTGTTTTACCTATAGAGTGATGCATCTCACTTGTACAAGATGGGTAGTTGGGAGTTTCACGCAGTACCTACTAGTCAATCAGAATCAGAGTAGGACGGGTCCTGATAAGCCGATAACACAGCTCGGTTCAACAGTTAAATTTCCCGGACCAGCTTAGCAACTAAGACTGGAGCAAGAGTTTCAGAGTGGTTAATTATTAATCTGTAACACATTGATCTTTCATACAGAGCGTTTCAACTGAGCACTGTCTCTACATCAAAGTAACAACTTTATGTTCATTGACTGTCTAACATTTGGTAGGGAGAGTGGGCGTGAGGGGAGGCAGCAGGTGGACGTCTCGTCACTGTGTGCTGCAGCTCAGTGTGTTTTTCCACAGGTGTTTTTGAGGGCGTGCCTGCCTAACCGCTAAGTAAACATTATGACGTGTGTTACAAAGTGCCACAACATGGTAATGAAAGTAAAGGCTGGACTACAATCGAGCTGTTTTCCGTCAGTTCCGGAGCAGTGTTTTCTGTAGGAGATGGAAACTCCCTTTGTGGCTTCGTCACTTTACAAACCTATTACATACACAACAAAATATATATAACACAATAACGGAAAGGAACTAAGCCAAAAAAGCATAATATGACCTCTTTAACTTCCTGTCTACTCCAAAAGTGGGAATGTGTCCCGTTGTGCAGATTCACATCACATTTTAGCAAATATAAATATAGACTAGCTTTATCATTTAACGTACAGCAAGAAGGACTGCCAGAGCTAGAGGACAATGAGGGACTTTCTTTTCTCTCATACAAACATCAACCACTATTTACATAGCAGCCCTAATTAGGTCAGTACTCCCACACAGCTCTGGGAGCAGCTGTGATTGGTCAGAATGTGTTTTTATTGTGTTTTTATTGTGTTTATAACAATATGGTTTCATATCTGTGTCTGTGTGCAATTTAAAATGTGTTTTATTACAATATTTCTTCATCCAAAACAGAGTCACAGTCACAGTTAGTTACACTATTAAACACAGTCCAGTTTTCCATGATATGGGCTTATTTGTTTTGTAACATACTCATGACACTGGCTATAGACTGACAGGGAGACAGCTTCACACAAAGTGCTGGAAACTCAGGTAAACTCTGAACCGTTACAGTAATATTTTTAGTAAGTAATCCATGCCCTTTACATGATAGCGTTAGCTCGCCTGCTGCTTTTCAGTAACTTACATTACTATTCTTCTTTCACCGGAGGCTCAGCAATGTCAACGCAGCTACAGTAAATGTATTGATGATAATGAAACGGTTAGTGAAAATTATAAATGAGATTGTTGCCGCACTTTATAACAGTTAGACTGCAGTAACTGAAGTAACATTACTGTGGTGAATGGGTCTTCCACTGTGTTATTTTCCTGTGCCGTTATGTTGCACTATTTCATATTATGTGGGTCATTTACGTTACAGCGACTGAGAGGTGGAGAATCTGTGTACCTGAGTATCGGTAAAATGTCAATAAATCTAAATTGAACACTACGAAGCAAACGGTAGATCAATATAATTTCTTGCAGGCTAAATCAACACTTTGACATAATACCGGTGGTACACAGGATAGTTATGTGGATCATGTTAGCTGTAGTAAGTAAAAAAAAGCCATAATATTATATATTATATATTGTACCGGATAACGTTAGCAACTGCTCAGTGTTAGTCGTTGAGCTAACATGACTCTCTCCGTGACTCCAGCCTTTCTGATGTTGACTGCGTTTTCATTGGACATCATCTGATTCTGTTTGGCCTGACAGGCTTCAGCCCATAAACCTTTGTTATTTTGAAATCTTATGTGAAGTTTATGTTGGAGTCTGTGTTGTGCTGGGAGCCAGTTGTTTTATGGTGTTGGTGAACTGCATTTTGTTAGCTGCGATGTAGTTGTTGTAGTCGCTTTAGTTGCTTAAATTGGAGGCTACAGAGCATGCAACTACATTCCGACACCATCAAATTAAAAACAGAATAGTGGCTGTTCTAAGCAACAGAGAAAACATGTGTGCTTCATTTCTAAGTGAGGTTACAGCCATTGACATAGATTTATTAAGTGAAAAATAATAATTGAAAAACTACATTTAGCCCCTTTAACAAAGTGTAGGTTCACTACAATCTACATATTTTGGACAGGGAAGGCATCTGGTTTGAAAGAGGAGTGAAAGTGGCCATTTACACCATAATAGAGAGACCATCACTTGTTCCACACTAACAATGCTATTCTTTCATTCTATCCCAGAACAATGAAAATACACTCACAATTGGCCTCATGTAATAATGCCAATGATGGTTACCCAGACATGGCCTAATGTGACCTCTGAGGTTCTCCACCAGGTATCAGAAGGCATCCACCTCCCTGCATCACATACTGCACAGCTGAAGCCATATGCTGATATTTTCCACACAAGTACCTATAAAATAAAATATTTATTACTAAACTAATACCCCCCTCCCTCCTCTCTTAATCTGCTTCTGTCCGTTTGCAATTCCCACCAAGACCAAGCATTTGGCAACAGTGGCAAGGAAAAACTCCTTCTTAGCAGGAAGAAATCCTGAACAGTGGCGAGAGAGAAGAGGAGGAAATATAACACAGTAGGCCCAACACAGAGATGTAAAATTATAATCATAAGTGGATTGTTAAAGCCTGATTTATTGCTTCTCTGCCATCTGCAACACAATGGGCCTCACACAAAGATTTCTTCTTAAGGAGCCTGTATGAATGATTTCAGACAACTTGTCACATTCATGTTTTCTCTCAGTTTCAATCTTCTTGTAAGACTGAAGACTCATTCTCTTGCGCCTCCCATTTTAGATATGGACAGCTTTGCCTTAACATGGCCACAGAAAAATCAACCTGTTTAACACAAATTTTACTTAGATCCACATGGTAAATGTTCTAAATGTCAGAAGGTGATGATAAACCATGACACGTTCAGAATCAAACACATTTTCTCGCACATTCACAGACATCTTTCTGCAAGTCTGTATTGTACAAACCTTATAGATCAATACTTACAAACATTCATGCATTCTTATAGGTCAAACAGCAAGAGAAACTTCTAGACTGCTCTCTGATTAAACTGTCATGTGTTGCAACGATGGAGAAGGTGACAAGAACTAGGACATGACAGTTGGTGGTGGAAACAGATATAGGCCAAACATAAAATCACCACAAGAATAAATAAGGCAGAAAATTAAAAAAACAAGACATAGAACCAACAACCCCCAAAATAATACCCAGAATCCCCAAACCATGTCAGAAACACACACACACACACACACACACACACACACACACACACACAGTTTGTCAAACATACACATTGCAGCACAACAGTGGCCTCTCCTTGTCCTCTCTCATGCTTAAGTGAGAGCAGGCGATAAGGCTGCAGAAGAGGATTATTACCTAGATCCCTGAGGGAAATCCACTTGATGGCCCAGCTTTACCCTTGCATTTACACATCCAGCATGCCGTTAACATTAACAGTCCTCTCATTCCAGGCTAAAGCTCCTTTCATCCCTTAGAGACTCATTGGAATTGGTTGTCATGTATTATTACCTGTACATTGTGATTGAATGAGGCTTATGTCTTAGTGTTAATTGATGATAGTTTTAAGAAGCAGTGACCTCTCTTTAAAGTGTTCTTTTATATAGTTTCGATATGTAGTTTCAGCTATCAAGTTCCTTTTGTATCTTTGTGTTTCTTTTACAGTAGCCATGTTTTGATCTAATTGTCATGCGAAATTTAAGCGTACTTTTGAACGCTAATTTTTGAAAACAGAAAAAATAAATAAAATATGTGCGTTTCTGTCAGCTGGTTTGGAGCGAATAAACCAGGCTTGTTAGGGCAACTGATTTGGATGCCTGGACCTAACTCCAGGGTTTTTTCTAGGCACATCACTTGAAAGGTGACCCTGGGGCAGACCTGGACCATGCTAGAGAGATTACATACCTTCTCTGGCATGGGAACAACTGGAGGACATAGCTAGGAAGAAGGACATCTGGGCCACCTTACTAAATGCTTGATCACACTAGAGTGGCACTTTAGTGGCACTAAAGTGGCCTCTCTTTCCAGCACCATGCTAGTGTCAGTCAGAGCAGCTCTCTGAGCACACAGTTTATTCAGAAAATGTATTTATGCAATTGATTCATGTCTCTTAACTGCCTGTGCCTCTTTTCTGGAGCTGTTTAGAGGAAGGATAGCCTAAGTAAAGAAGGAATGGTGCAACACAGCTCATAAGCAGTTATGAGGTTCATGTCTCCAACGTGACGCCCAACCTTTACTTTATCTTGAAGAACACTTTTGTTTTTGTGCAGTGATGGACATTCAACATTCCAGGCGTGCTGTTGTGAACCAACAGTGTGGATTTGTGCATTTTATATCAAATAAGTTTGGACTACTCCAAATTCTTTCTCTCTCCCTGAGAGAAGGAGGAGGGGGTTTGGATTATCAACCCTCTACAGACAGCCGAAGCAACTCCAAGGAAGAGGTGAAAGGTTTCTCTCCCTAAGTGCTGTTTCTTGGCAATTGTAAAACTTGCCACTTCTGATACCGCTGCCAGATAACGCTTGGTGGCTGACTGTTAAAATGACAAAAGAAACACTCACCAGTGACTAGTTTTCCCTGAACTCTTCTCTTTGTAAGAGAGA